TATTGCTTCTTAATTTCAACTTACCACTTTCGGCTAGAATGTAGTTTTAGGATCACATTTGAATGCTAATGAGGAAGAGCGGAATTTAACTGGGAAGTTCTACTGTCTTAATGAATGAGAGAGATACCAGATATTCTGGTATGCACACATCCGCCTTTTTAGGCTACTCTCTCTTAAGCTATTATTACGCTCTGCCATAATTTAGGCCCTTGATAGCTTTGCAGTCAATTAGCGTTAAGGAGCCAACTCCGTTAGAATCTTGATAGCTTTGGCTATATCTCTTTAGTTAAGATCAGTTTAGTTTAATTCTTAGTTTCTTAAGTTCAAGCCCGAGTGTCGGCTTTATTGTACAACTCCAAGACGGAGTTCTATTAAATCTTATTTGAATAAAAAATGGTCTTTTTAACCCTTTCCAAGTTTTATTTACTGTCTCACGAACTCAAGCCATTATTCGCTTACTAGTTCTTAAGATTCTTCACATCCAACTGGAACTTAGAATTACACAGTGGGGAATCCTAGAATACAATCCTGGCACTTCCCTGGCATTGGTCATATTTTGATTTATTCAAGCTGATATAGTATCTACTCATATTATACTCCTTCAAAAATTTCAGACTTGAAAACAGATAACATACTGTATTTTTTCATTATGTTCAACAATGTTCCTGCGACTTGAACTGAAATTGTCATTTTGCATCTTCAACACACTTTTTTTTTTCTTAAATTCTGCCATTTTAAATAGTACTGAATGAAAGCGAAAATCAAAGCATGCATGCGATAGATTATAACAGTAAAAGAGGTCATTACTGAGGTGGCCATTATAACAGAAATGAAGACTGTAAGGTGATGCCATCTCTGGAATGAAAGAAACTGCCATCTGATGGGCAGTGTTCCTATTGTCAGTGGTTTCCCTCCAAATCTGCTTCTCTGTATGCCTTGCAGCACAGTAGGGAGAAAATAATGTTTAGCATTAGTCACTCTGTCCTGAATTGCTGATGACATTTTCCAGAATTTTACTAAACCAGTGTTCAACTAGTTAGCATCCTAAAGACTGTTTTCCAATGATTTATATTGTTTATTGTAATTTAAAGCAGTGAGAAAGATACAAAATTTTTTCCAAATGTAATTTTTTTTTTTTTTTTTTTTTTTTTTTTAAATCCAGCAAGAAGTGCAAGTGCCAATAAAATGAATAAGAAAGTCATATATAGTCAACGGGCCGCAAGTTGTACTAGATAATAATGTCATAATAACAGATCTAGATAATAATGTCAGATTGTAAGAAAGCAAGCATGTTTAAACTTTATCTAACTTTGCTGAATCTGTTTCGATAACATTACGTTTAGACAACTCTTGACCGTCAATTTGCAGAGGATTATTTTCATCACTACACCACAACACATACGCATGACTGAAAAGGAGATTTCATTTATTGTTATGTAGATTAGGTATTAAACTAGCATATGGTATGGTTGAGAAACACTGGTTCCATTTCATGACATATATACAGTAGTGTAGTCATTATTAAAGTTTTAACTCATGTATATAAAATACAACAATACTTGAACTGCTATTAGGTTTTAATTAACAATAATGACAAATTTCTAATAACAAAAAATATCATCAATTTTAATTAACTTTATGGACATAGAATGCAAATAAATAATTATGAAATTTTAAAATAAAATTTTCACCAGTAATTAAACGTATTCAAATTCTTCAACTGCTATTAGGTTTCACTTAACAATAATGACAAATTTTTAGTTGCAAAAATATCAATTTTAATTAAATTTATGAACATAAAATGCAGGTAAATACAGTACAAAGTCCTAGATCCAGACCTCAAAGCCATAAACTTTTTTTTTTTTTTTGTATGCTTTACGCATGCGCACTTGATTTTTCCTTCCATAATAAAACATGCGGAGATTTTCACTTAAAATTCCAATTCTTTAATAAATTGTCTTACAAAAATTCTGATTCTTAAATAATCCAGCATACACTTTTTTAATTAATAATTTGGCTCCATAGCTGAGTATCTGCTTGGCCTACATCTCAAACCAAAGCATTCACCTACTAGTATTTTATATCCCTAATGCCAACCTGGCGAGTCATTATTATTATATTTTGCTTTCATCACCGCATGTTTATCAATACATGACAGCTTCAGTAATGACTCGTGCAGCAATGTCTAAGCATTTTTTTATATTAGTAATTGAATAACAAAAGTATGGCAACCTTTTATGCTAACATTTTTATGCTAACGACGATTGTAGATTTTTAAATGCTCTAAGAAATGTTGACGAGGAAAAATTTAAAAAAAATTTCTTTTCATTTGCTAAAAATAGATTTTGTTAATGAAACTCATCAGCCAAAAGATTACATTTAGTGCTATTTTAATTAAGAATAACTGATATGTTATTCACATAAACCCAGAAGCGGTGGCAGAATATGGCAGCACGGGACGGCAGAATTCAGGCAAGACAAATTTTATTTTAATTTGGGGAAACACCGAACAGCAAAATTAAGGGATGATAATTTTTTATAATTTAGGGAAAGCACTGGGATCCAAAGTTTAGGGAGGGGTGAAATTTCAGAGCTTAGGAAGGCGCTTCGTAGCAGAATTTAGGACCCACAGAGACTGCACCAGGCGGTATCTAGCGCCGGCCCTAGATAAAGCCTTACGTATATGTGGGAGTTTATTTATTCAGAACTCAGATTAGTTTAAAGTATGTACAAGAAATAGATGTAGGTATAAAAAATAACTAAACTAATACAGTTCAGGCTTAATTCAGTACACTATAGAAGGAAGATAAAATTTAGCGGAACACCTTTTCTTTTGTCACCAATCTTATGATACATAGCCAATAATGTATAGCGGACACTATTAAGCTATGCTAAAATTATCTTTACTGATTCTAAAGAATTTCATTTAACTTAGCAAACTGTGCTGATCTTTAATCTTCTAATTTGATCTAGCTTATTATTTTTTGCAGACTTTTATTATTACAGAAATTGTATGAAAATTAAAGCCCAAATTTTTGTTTATGTCAAAAAGAGTTTCTAATTCTGGAACTGCAACAGGATATACAAAGCAAAAGCATGTTTTGATGTCCATTAAACAAAAAGTGGAATTGCTGCAAAAAATGGATAACGGCTCAAAAATTAAAAGAAAAAGGAACTTTTTGAAATTTTTGTGGATTCCGACACCCCACTTGCAATGAATAATAAAAAAAACTGTTCGTTATGCTAAAAGTGACAATCATGACAAAGTGAAGATTGAATAGGTCAGACAGCATCGCAGCGATGGTTTCCCATTGACAGGTCCAATGCTAATGCTTACGCCCAAATATTTCATGAAGAAATAAACTTAAAAAGTGAGTGCACATATTTGACAGGTTGGTCAGCCAAATTTAAAAATCGCCGTGGTATAAGGCAATTAAAAATTTAAGGTGAAAAGGCTTCAGCTGATACTAAAGCTGCTGAGCAATTTGCAAATGAATTCAATGAACTCATTACTAGTGAACAATTATCTCCAGAACAAATTTACAATGCTGATGAAACTGCTCTTTTCTGGGAATATGTACTGTGAAATACCTTGGCAACCTCTACAGAAAAGGCTCCAATTGGTGTCAAAGAATCCAAAGCGAGACTAACAATTTTTAGCGTGTGCAAATGCTGCAGAAACGCACAAGTGCAAACTTTTCATAATCGGTAAACATATACGACCCTGAAAATTTAAAGGAGTAACGGTTTTTCCCATTATATTATATTATATTATATCATGCAAGTAAAAAAGCATGGATGACACAAGCATTTATGAATAATTGTTTTGAAAATCATTTCATACCCGAGGCTCAGCAATATTTCAATTCAGTTGGTTTACATGATGACTCAAAAATAGTCCATATTTAAGACAACTGTTTAGCTCGTACTTCACTTAAAGTTTTAGTGAAAGATAATGTATCCGTATTATTCTTCCCTCCAAATTGTACATCTGTCACTCAGCCTATGGATAACAGAATACTGCGTGCGCTGAAATACAAATATAAAGTAGCATTTTTAAAGTTCATGTTAAATTTCTTGAACAATGACTATTCAAGAATTTAAAAAATATTTTAGCATAAAATCTGCTGTTTGGAGCATCGCAAGATCGTGGGAGGATGTGTCTCCAGATACATTAAAAAATGCTTGGCATAATTTATGGCCAGCTACCATATTTCATGTTGAGGATGATGAAGATGATAGCCGCAAATTTGAAGGTTTTTGGATATCGCAAACTAAAGGTGAAATTTTTCAGTTAATGGATTTTGTAAAGAAATTTGGAGAAAGGTAATAAATGAAGACGGCATAACAGAATTTTTCCATTGCGATGACAATGCCCCAATCATCAATCAATTAACGGATGGCGAAATCTGCAGTATGGTTCTAAATCCGGAAAATACCGCTACCGATAGTGAAGAAAGTGACAGAGAGGTTACTGAAAACAAAAAAATTTCGATTGACAAGTTAGTCGGTATTCTCGACGCAGCAATTAGAGGACTTGAACAGTGGAATTTTGTAACTGAACAAGAAATTATGTCTGTTTATAGAATTAAAGAGAAAGTATTAGAACAAAAAATGAAACAACTTAAACAACTTACATTGAAGGAAATTTGTAATAAAGTAAACAAATAAATATTAAGTTTTTTTTTTTTTTTTTTTTTTGTAAATTTTGATATCCTTTAGATTATAAATGCTCTTTATTTCATAAATTACGATTTTATATTTTTAATTGTATAATTTCTGCATGCCATCTTACTAGATTTATATTGATGATCTAGTATCCGGAAAAATCTCACATCCGGAATCGCCAGCGTCCCAACTAGTCCATATCTCGGACTTTGTACTGTAATTACTGAATTTTAAAATAAAATTTCACCAATAATTAAATAAAATATAATGTAAAATTCCTATAATATGCAGAATGATTCCATATTTTATAAGCTGCACAGTAAAAAAATTACCTTCTAAGGTATGCACTAGTTTTCCCGTAGCTATGTCAAATACTTTTATAATTCCATCAATTGCACCACTAGCAAGGTATTTCCCATCTGGACTCTGAAAAATTATATATTTGGTAACACTAATAACAATATTTCAAAATTCTTCAATATTTAATTTTTAAAACACTAAGTATATACCATGAACAAATGATTTTTAACATATGTCATAAAGCAAAGAGATATAATACTGATGTAAATGAATATCAGTACAAAGTAAATAAATTATCAAAAATATAAAAAATACACTGTTAATGTATATGATATGTACAGTACATATTATATATAATATTTGATACTTGATACACAAAAAATAATTCTGATGATGCCTAGAAGCAAAGAGTATTATAAATCGTCAAATAAGGTGCATTTGTTAAACAAGGCAAGAAAATAGGGCATCATATTTGGTGAATGAGCAAGCTTAAGATCAGAAGTTCCCAATGGGATCAGTATTGACCTCCTGAAAATTGAAAACTTTGAAGAGACTGGACAAGGGTGAAATATTATCAAAAGTGGCACAGGATTATAATGTAGGAAAAATCACCATAGGAGATTAGAAAAGAAACTGAAATGAGATTGGAAAATGGTTTTCTGAGCATGTGACAAGAATGAAGAAAATCAATGAAACAATGTGGGCACGAAAAAGGTAGTGAAGTTTTGTCTCTTTGTTTAGTAAACAGAGACAAAAGTATCTCAAAGCTTTGTTCCTTTGGTTTACTAAACACAGAGATAAAAGGGTTCAATATCGGGACCAATCTTATAGAAAAGAGCACTGAAAGTAATTTAATAAGGGTGACCCTAACTTTACAACCAATGTTGGGTAGCTTGATAGGTGGAAGAAAAGGTGTGGTATATGGCAGCTAACTGTACATGCAGAAAAACTTTCAATTAATGATGAGTCAGTAGAAAGCTTCAGAGATAAATTTCCTTAAGTTGCTGGACAAGGAAAACTTGACTGGTGATCAAATAATTAACTACTATCAAAAAGGACTAAATTACAAAATGTTAATTCTTAAAACACTAGCAGCTAATTTTGAAGCTGCAATACCCAGCTATAAGCAAAATAAAGGATGAGTAACAATCCTGTAAAAGTAACCCTGAGCAGTAATGCTGCAGCAGATCATAAACTGAAACTTACCATGGCAGGAAAATCATAAAATCCAAAAGCTTTCAAGAATGTATCCAAAAATGCTGTTTTACATCAAATATTTTAGCCAGAAAAAAACTTGGATGAGTTCAGATATTTTCAAAGAATGGTTTTAATGACTTGTGTCTCGGACAAGTTTTTGAAAAAGAATAATCTATCAAGAAAAGCTCCATTGCTGTTGGATAATGCTTCTTTCCACCTGAATGGAGGATTTAAAGGAGAAATATAGGTCGTGTTTTACATCCAAATGTCACAACAATCTGTCTGCCCCTGGAATTATTGGTCTAGGAGACTTTAAAAAGAAATTATTGCAAGAAACTTTTGACAACTTTAGTTGATTCTATTAATCAAGAAAATATGATCAAGAGCTTGCAAAGTTTGAACTTAAGAGACATTGCCTATCGCATAGCTCAGTTATGAGGATGCGTCAGCTCAACAACAGTCACAATATCTTGGAAAGTTTTGTTATGTGAAGGTGAAGGACAAAAAAAAAAAAGAATCCTCAGGACGTATTGAAATTTGGAAGGCTAATCAGGAAGACATGTTGTCTATGCTAAAAATAGTACTAGGATGTAATGAAGCAACAGTGAAGAACTTGAATGAAAGGTTTTTTCCTCAAGATGAAAAATACGAAGTAGACAAAGAAATCATTAATGTGATGCTGAATGAGAAACATACAGAAGGTAATGATGATGAAGTAGTAATGGCAGAAAGCAGGGACAAGATTTTTCAAACCAAAGAACACAAAGCTATAGAAATGGCATTGAAATATGTTGAGCAGCTAGAAACCTAATCAATAGAGGTTTTACTTCTGTACAGATTGCTAAAACTAAGATAGCAAAAACTTCAAACCGCTTGCAAAAAAAGGTCTAATTACCAACTTTTTACATCATGTTTGATTTTTCTCTCTTATTTCCTGTAGACTGTTCTTTGCAATATACACAGTAAAAATGTGTAATTTGCTCAATGTATTTTGTAAGTTTTAAATGTCAGATTTGTTACTTTTTGCCTCTTCTGGGCTTCTTAATCATCTAAACAGGCCAAGACTCATTTAGATTGAATAAACAAATATGTTAAAATCTAATTTTATCAGAAAGTATAATAACTAAATAATAATGTTAAACTTACAAATGCAATACTTAAAGTAAATTTTCCAGTGGTATCTAAGGATGATTCCAATTTGCCAGTTTCTGTTTTATACAAGTTTATCTTGCCCGCATGGCTGCCAGTTGCTATATATTTGGAATCAGGCGAAAATGTAACAGTCCAAGCATCAACTATAATCAAATAAATAAAACATGTAAATTTATAATAAGCATACCAAAAATATTTTCAGAGAAATCTATTAAATTTTCCAATTGTAAGAATCACAATAACAATTCACAGTACTTATGTATAATCCTATGGACCATGAAACTTGGCAAAGTGCCAAAGTTGAGACAATCATTTCTGCAGAATTCTGAAGAAACTAACACCTCTCTATTTAATAAACAATAAGTAATCAACCTGCTTTGTTTTTGTACTCTGTTAAAAAAACTGTCTTTAATTTCTACTATTTTGTTAGGCCTTCCGATTTCACCAAAAGCTTTGTTTAGAACACTGTACAAAATTTTCAATCTATTCCTATTTTGCCAATCACATTCACCTGACCATATTGTGCTCATTCATTCATACTGTTTTACAAGCTCCTGTATTAATAATCCTGTGTTAATCATTTTAAAATAATCCTCTGCTTACAGCTTTGTAGAAAGTAGGTCCCAAATTTTAATCATTTTTTTTTAAATGCATGAAAAATACAGCAATAAGAGTTAATTTATATTGTTGTTCATAAAAACAAAAGATAGCTTATTGACAAACAATCAGAGCTACATCAAATGAAAGTGCAGATATGAGTGTGTTGTTTCATCATGCTTATCTATAACTGAGGTTAAATTGCACTACTTGGCTGCAGTTTCATGATCAGTGCGACAATACATAAATACCCAATTCATATTATGTTGAATGCAAAAGGGAACTTTTTGTGCATTAAAAGCATATCCTTAGGTGAAAGCTAAATTTTACTGGCATTTTCTTATTATCTGTATCCTCACATTCAACATTCAATAAAACTGACCTTTTAGGCATATTCTAGAATGTGTGCACGACAATACCCAACATGCACATGTTTAAGTTCACATGGTTTGTTTTTAACTGAACAGTATTCACCTGTTCTAAAAACATCTGTATGTTCATATCAGCCATACAATTTTTTATATTATAAAATGTGCTTTTTATTACTGTTACTGTTATTATTTATAGACAGAATAAAATATATGGATAATAAAGATAACCAAACCGCAATTCAATTTTTTCCGCAATTCACAAAATCACCAATTGGACTGGAAACTTTCTGTCGGGGTGCCGATAATTAGAAAGTACCATTTTACTTCATATTCAAAAATATAAATTATTTAACCCTTTGACGTGCGTGATATTTTTATAATTTTTTAAACTAAAAACTCTAGAAATTGAATATTATGATCTTAGAGACAAATAATGTATGAATCTTAAAAAATATACTCTTGCCCATTGTTCTGTGGATGGTGGTCGCACTGTGAAACCACCGCGCGTCTAGGACTTTGAAACTTACTGAGGTAGAAGGGAAAAAAAACTTAACCTTTATCCGTGCACGTTTCCAATAAGTGACGAAATTTACGAATTTTAAAAAAATGTATATAAGAATTGCATTATATATAATTTTTTTACATTATTTTACAAAGTAAATCATTAGAAAAAATTAAAAAATAAACATTTTTGTAATTTTTCTATAGCAGTGAAAATATAGTAAAGTAAAGATAAAAAAAAGACTCGGTGGGTTTTTTTTTTTTTTAAATTTCAAAGAACAAAACTTTTTTGTGACACTGTTCAAAGCATATTTTGTCTTTTTGGTAACTGCTTAGACCCACATTGCACGTTTCGCACATGTATCTTTTTCTGTGAGGTTTCTTCTTGTGCTACAAAATGTACACTGCCTGAATCTAAATTTCACTGGTATATGTCCAGTGTTATTTATAGTTTCTTTTCATCTGGCACATGAAATCTGTGGTTTTTTATGTTAATGGGGTGGGGGTTTTGTCTTTTTGGCTTTGGTAAGGATCATTCGTTTCCCATTCATACTTATTTTATTCGTATATGTCTCAAAATATTAAGAAAATATTTTTAATTTAAATAAAACTTTGCACAATTTTTATTTTTAATTATAGCAAAGTATATTTACATTAAACCACAGGAAATAATTTATAAAATCACAATACAATAAAATAACTCTGTGGTTTCAAAACCCCTTATCTATATTTGGGTAAAAATAAACTTTCCTATTTGAGAAGCAAACAAACTCCATTGTAAAGAGCAGTAGTTTCAAGGCGTGATCACCGAGTGGTGCGAAACAAAGCAAATACCATACATATAGAGGGGTTTTTTTTTTATATATGCAGTTTAATTATTGCTATTTTTTACTGTTTATGATATAAATCATGATATAAGATGAATAACTTTTGAAATTTAAAACTGTTTATATTAATAAAAGGAAGTTATTTTGTCTCATTGAAAACGAATTTTAAAAGGCATCCGATTGGAAGTACTAAGACATAAAAAATGTATGATTCTGTAGTCATTTTGTGTTATTTATAGGTAAAAGATCAATAATCAATTGATTTTCACTCAAAAATTTCAAAAAAAGGAGGATAAAAAAATTCGAAAATTGGTGGTTTCAGGGCGCAACCACCATGCATCAAAGGGTTAAATGAAATATTTAATCTATTGATAACATAATTATTTTTTAGTTTAATTAAATATTTTGTTTTAAATCATTTAAAATTAGTTCAACAAAGTTAAATATACCTTTCAGTTAATATAAGTGAAAGAAAAGGCTACATAGCAATGATGTTAATAAAAAATGTATTATCTGTATATGTAAAAGGAAGAACATGCCAATATAAAAATTACAATTACAGGGAAAACCTTAAGACTAGCATAAATTTTGAATAAATCTCAAGCAACTTCAAGCCCAATCTGTCACAGGTCCTTAGTTTTCAGAACCAAAAATTTTGTAGTTACTGAAGAATTTGATTTTTTTTTTGGGGGGGGAAGAATTTGAAGGTTTGAGATCACTCCTGAAATTGATAAGTTTTACTCAAAGCCTACATCAATCTAAGATTGCTCTTTTGCCCAATTTTGACAGTTAATAATTTAACCCACTGTACGGCCCACATTTGATTCTATTTATATTCCGAAAATTGCAGTAATAAAGAACAATGCTTGCACAAATTTTTACCTTAGCTGAAACTAAAACGGCTTTCAAAATGGCTATTATAAGATTTCCTTCCCCCCTCATTGTAGGAGATCAACAAGTTGTTTCATTTAATGTCTTTCTAGTGTTAAAATGTTGCTCACTGATCAATGCCTAGAGGCGATAAGGCAGGTGGTGGCTTGCCTTACCAAGGAAGGAACAAGTTTTGTCTGCCTGCTTTGGTTAGAAGAAAAAGATTTTTTTTTTTTTTTTTTTTTCTGAAAACCCAAAAACAGAAAACGAAGCTGGTCCCTATTACCTTGCTACTAGTTTTGTGCACATTTCTGATTTTAATTGCTTGTCAAGTTGATTTATTGATTTTTACTGCATTTGAGTACATCAATGTATGTTTATAGAATGTTAATTTGTTGAAAATGCTTAATAAAAAGTTCTCAAATGAATATTAGTGCAGAGCAAATATCTTAAATGGACTACTAATAAAAGTTTTAATTTAATTGGTATAGATATGTATGCCTATCACAATCATAAAATCTTACAAACTAGTGAAATGGTCTAGTTTATCTAATTATCTGCTTTTGACTCAAGATATCAAGTTTTCATGCTAAGTTAAAATTTGTAAGAGGTTTAAAATACCCAACTCCTATTTGATACTTCATACATTGCAAGTGATACTTCATACATTATTAAAATAATGAACACATGCTTAGTCCCTATGTGTAGCACGTTAATACAAGCCAGTTGCCCTTAGAAAATCCTCCACGAAGGTATCGCTGCCTTCCATGTAGTTCCTCAAGGCGAAACACACAAATAATAATAAATAAAGTATAATGTGTATAGTTTGCCTCTGTATAATGTATTCCCATTGCAATGTTTCAAGAATTGTGCAGGAAAATACATAATAAGAAGTACAGCAATAAGAATATATTATCGAATATACATTTCAAGAGAGTAGTGAAACATCTTTTCAGTACTGAAGATATTAAAATGTTCAGTATTGTGCTTCAATAAATATATGCATGCTAATCTGTAGACCTCCCTTGACATTTTTGCAATTACAACTATGATATAATTATAACTGTTAAAAAAAAAAAAACATTGTATCCGTATTAACAAGAATTGGAATGTAATTCCAATTAAATTTATAATTACTCACTGTTTACTGCACCCTGAGAAAAATGCATTATTTTTATCTATGATATAAAATATTTTCCTTGGAAAACAAAATCTGTAGACACACTGGTGAACATTGTAGTTAATTTGTAGTTAAAACTACAACTAACACAGCCACAATTGCAGTTGTAATACAATGACTATTCGAATTACAATATTACTCCAAAAACAATTAGATTTTTGGCTCAGCAGTAATCGAGTAAATGAGATGTCTTTTGAATAGTGCTAGTTCAAATCGTATTCGAATTCCGACACACAATCTAAATGTTTGGATGTCTCTGTGGATTGTCAGTTCCACACAAAATCTTTTATGAATTTTTAAAGCATATGAATTAAGATGAATGATGCTCCATACACCCTTAAACATAAACATTTCCATTAAAATCAGCCTATATATACTGTGTGATTCACTTATTTTCCCACCAGTGTTCTAATTAATAAAGGATCTCAAACAAGAGGAAATGCAAGAGGAAATATGGTTTAATATAATGCTCTCAAAAGATGCCAAGCTAAGAAATCATGAAATTAATGAAGCAGTGACAAAAAATTTTAAAAAATTGGCAATGATTATTTGAATGCAAAATATACTGCAAAATAGCTATTATTTGTAGAAATTAAAGTAATTCAGGTTTTTATTCAAAACAGGAACAGTACTTTTCAGTAAATACAAAGTACATAAATGATGTTTTTAACAGAAAATTCACATGAACTTTCTTACCTGGTCCAGCATCAATACTCTTTAATTGCTGACCTGTCTGCAGATCCCACAAACGAATATGGCTGTCTAAGGAACTTGATGCTGCAACTAAATAATAAATCTCAATTTAACAAAATAATTATAATATTTTTATAATAACTTACATGAAATGTTATGTGCTCTATATTCATATTTACTTAATTTTAACTGCATAATGGAATCTAAATACTATATCTAATTTTCTTTATACTATACTAATATCTAATTTTCTTTAACACAGTACAAAATTATTCTCTCTCTCTCCCTTCTTTCTTGTATGAAGTAAAGGAAATACTGCAATCATGAAGAATTTCAGTTTCCAGATTTCAATAGAAATATCAATTTTGAACATTTCCATATCATTTTGACTACTTTTGCAAGAGACTTCTGTAAGTAAAGACAGAATAAAAAACTCTTTATACCATAAACAAATCGTAAAATGGATTCAAAATGGAACTTTTGGTGATGCCTGTATGTACATATGTACAGTCAAAAGTCGTTAATTCGGACACCCATAATCCGGACCTCAAAGCTAAAAACTTTCTGCGCATGCGCCTCGTTGGCACATGCGCACAGACGTTTTACGCGTGCGCGTAAGACCTTGACTACTGCGCATATGCATGTGCGCAAGTGCAGAATACATTTTCGCCTGCGCGTTTAATGTATAACAGACGGCGTAAGCTAAAATGATCTAATTATCTATTTCAGTTAATGTTAATGATTGCATTGTTCTCTTAATACTCTTCGAATTGGATCCCGCTTATTATTTTTTGCAGACTGTAAAGGCTAATTTTATAAAAGTACACTTGAACTTTCGATTATGTCAAATAGAATTTCCGATGCTGGAACTTCCAAGGATCTACAAAATGAAAGTATGTTTCGATGTCCAACAAACAAAAAGTGGAATTACTGCAAAAAAAGGATAAGACATGAGAATGTGACCGAGAGGTTAGTGAAAAGGAAAAAATTTCGATTGACAAGTTAGTCGGTATTCTCGGCACGCATTAACGAACTTTAACAGCGGAACTTTGTAACTGAACAAGAAATTATGTCTTTTATAGAATTAAAGAGAAGTATTATCATTAAATGAAGGCAACTTAAACAACTTACACTGAGAGAAATGTTTATAAAGTAACAATAAATTTAAGCTTTTTTTTTTTTTTTTTTTTTTGTAAATTTTGATACCCTTAGATCATAATTGTTCTTTATTTCATAAATTAAGACGGTTCATTTTTTAATTTTAGAATTTTCTGCATGCCATCTTACGAGATTTAAAACTGATGATCTATAATCCGGAAAAATCGATATCCGGAATCGCCGAAGTCCCGACGAGTCCGGATTAACGACTTTTGACTGTATTTTGCATAACTCAAAAACGATAAACCCTAGAACCAAATTTTTTGTACGAAACTTCTATAACATCTAGTTGTGTACCTTTCTATTTTATTGCAACTGGTCATGCAAGAAAGGGCACTTTGCTCAAAGTTTTTTTTTTTTTTTTTTTTAATTATTATTACTATTCATGACTCAAAAATGGTTAACTGTAACATGTTAAAATTTTGTACACGGGACTGCTGTAACATCTGCTTATGCACCTTAGGCACAATAAGGTGTGTTCAGTTCCAAGACTTTGGTGGAAATAATGAGGAATAGTTTAGCTTAAAAATGATGGGATACATTCCTTCTTCCAGAAGTCCTAATTATACCTTCTCAGTGATGACATCTGATGAGGTGGCTCATGTTTTCTTAGATATATTTGTTGTCGGTGTTACAAGTCTCCTACTTGCTTTCCTCCTTTTTTCCAGGAAGAGAGAGGGGGGAGAAATTCCTAAAATTCTAAAATATTTCAGCACTTGAGCTTTCCGGTCAGCTAAGTGTCGGACACTTGGGCTTTTATTGCATACAAGGTACTGTAGCAACACACAAAGGCATTTCTAATACCTATTAAGTTATACAATAACCATTAGCGTAGTCACATGATTGAGTGAGTAAAATACTGATGGTGACTCAAGTTTACCAGTCAAACCCAAGAACAGTTGTCTACTGATTCAGTCCTTAAACTAAACATACACTCAAGGGTAAATCAGATTAATTTTCTTCCTTAAACTCATTTTTACATACTTAACTCACAAGAAAGGATAAAAAAGATACTGCAGAATAATTGTGCTTTCAAATTTAAGGAGTCTGAAATCTTTTTCTTATATAAAAAATTATTTTCTGGAGCATTACATTAAAAACTAAACAACTGTTAAAACAGTAAAAATAAAATATATATATTATCCTTTTAGTACACATGGAAATAAAAATAGCATGGTCTTTTTCAAAACATTAGCATCTTCGAATTAAAAATACAGTCAAAAGTCGTTAATTCGGACACCCATAATCCGGACCTTAAAGCTAAAAACTTTCTGCGCATGCGCCGCGTCAGCACATGCGCACAGGCGTTTCACGCGTGCGCGTAAGACCTTGACTACTGCGCATATGCGTGTGCGCTAGTGCAGAATACGTTTTTGCCTGCAGTATAACAGACGGTGTAAGCTAAAATTATCTAATTATCTATTTCAGTTAATGTTAATGATTGCGTTGTTCCTTAATCTTCGAATTGGATCCCACTTATTATTTTTTGCAGACTGTAAGAGCAATTTTATAAAAGTAAACTTGAATTTCGATTATGTCAAATAGAATTTCCGATGCTGGAACTTCCAAAGGATCACAAACGAAAGTATATTTCGATGTCCAACAACAAAAAGTGGAATTGCTGCAAAAAATGGATAAAGACATGAAGAATGTGACGAGAGGTTAGTGAAAACGAAAAAATTTCGATTGACAAGTTATTCGGTATTCTCGGCACAGCAATTAACGGGACTTGAACAGCGGAACTTTGTTACTGAACAAGAAATTATGTCTTTTTATAGAATTAAAGAGAAAGTATTATCACATAAAATGAAGCAACTTAAACAACTTACATTGAGAGAAATGTTTAATAAAGTAAACAAATAAATATTAAGCTTTTTTTTTTTTTTTTTTTTTTTTTTTTTTTTTTTTGTAAATTTTGATACCCTTTAGATCATAATTGTTCTTTATTTCATAAATTACAGTTTCATATTTTTAATTTTAGAATTTCTGCATGCCATCTTACGAGATTTAAACTGATGATCTATAATCCGGAAAAATCGATAATCCGGAATCGCCGAAGTCCTGACGAGTCCGGATTAACGACTTTTGACTGTATATTAGTTTTTATTCCAACATTATTGAGCACTTTCCCTTTATGTAGTGGTCTGAGCCAAAGAAAATAATGTTGACACAATTTAGGCTTAGGAAAGTAAAATTTGTTGCCAAATTTTATAAACAGTTACAAAATGAGATTGACTTAACAGTTACCAATGCAAATAGGCTGTTTATTCAATTCCTACAACCACACTTTATTTTATACATTTATATATATAAATTAAAGCATCTAAATTTAAAAGATAATTGGAGACAAAGCAAGACAATTCCTCAACAATATTAATAATTAGAACTGAGTATAAGAGGTTTAACACAATATCTACAACAAATCAAATCAAAATTAAAAATACTGTACAAAGTCCAAAATCTGGATATCCATTATCCAAAATGACCTCAAAACCACCAACAACATTTTTCTTCTAGGCTTTACGCATGCACATTTGATGCATTTGATGATGAGGGTTTATTATGCGTCTCCACACATAATAAACCATTGTGAGAGTCCCGATAATTTCAATTTGACACTAAATAAAATACCTTGTTATTGAAGAAACAAACATTTTAGCATAAATTTATATGATCAGTAATTTGGTTCCATTGCTGTGTTATCTGCTTCTTGGCACACACCTCAAACCGAAACATTCCGCAAAGATACATCGCTGATCTGACGCCAACCTGGCGAATCATTATTTATTATACTTTCCTCTCATCACCGCATATTTATCAAAACATGACAACTTGAGTAATGACTTATATAGCAATGCCTAAACAATTTTTTATGTTAGTAATTGAATAATAAAGGAGTATGGTAACCTTTTATGTTGACATTACACTTGACGATGATTACAGATTTAAGTTAAATGTGCTAAAATGTTGACGAGGACAAATTTACCAAAAATTTCTTTCCATACACTAAAAATAGATTTTGTTGATCATACTCATAGACCCAAAGATTACATTTAGGGCTATTTGAATTAAGAATAACTGATTTGTTATTCACATTTAAAAAAATTTTTTTTGGTGATAACATTTAAAAATTGGTATTTCTGGCAATTTAGTTTCTTATGATAAAAATCTATATAAAAAATATTTTCTAGAAAGAAAAAATGCATTTTTCAATTCTCCAATATATATAGATTTAAAATTTGAAAAAAAAAAAAAATTACACAATTTTTGAAGCGATTTCGGTCCACAAATTGAGCAGTCAGAGGGTTAAGAACCGGGACTCTCCAGATATTTTATTATGCACGGAGGGGGAAATCAAATGCACATGTGTAAAGCCTACGAGAAAAATTTTGTTGGTGGTTTTGAGGTCTGGATTTTAGATCATTCCGGATAATGGACGTCCGGATTTTGGACTTTGTACTGTATTTATTTGTACCTATTTAGTTGTACACTATGCTACATGAAAGAATCCTGTTCCCCAAATTGAGTAAAATTACATAAGTAATTTATATTTTTAATACAAGTAATGTTTACATTAAATGTATGTATAAAATAAAACCTAAGGTGGAGAAATAAAAGAACACTGTAAAATTAAAAATTTTACATGATTTCTCCATATCTTCTTTCACAATGAACTGAAGGACATTAAAATGAGCAAGGTAAAAATCATGAAATATTGTTTGTATAGATACTAGGATTATATTATATGAAAAATTGTATAATTACAGCAACAACAGTAATAATATTTAATTTACATTGGTACTTGATTTGTAAACCATTAAAATGTTAAATATTATTACCTGAACCTTCATGGTCAATGTCTACTGACACTACACCCAAAGCATGGCCTTCAAAAACATGACGAAGATCTAATTTTTCTTCATCCCTATATCATATAAAATACACTATATATTTTTAAAAAAGATAAAAAAGATAAAAACTTAAAAAATGAAAAATATACATCCAGAAAACATTGCATGCTGCTCAAAACATATATTGAAAAATAAGAAAAAATATGAATCCCCCACTTTCTTAACTAAAATTGGTACTTATTTATTATTTTGGCCCTCATTATTTAAATACCACCAGAATTAGCACTAATTTATCATGTCTCCACTGTATGCTATGCTGCAAAATGTAGCTATACAAGTACTTAATAAATGCACATACAAGGACAACTTAAGGATAACAAAAAGGAAATGAAATTTTTCTGATATGAAAGTATATAAAGTAAAGAATTAAAAAAGATATGTTTAAAATTAAGAAATTTTTTTCTAATAAAAATGATAAGAACAAATTCTATGTTAAAAAAAACATTGATAATTGAGCTAGGACACCTGGACAGAGATTCAATTTTTTTTAATACAAATTTCTAAAAGTTTTTAAAATGTCTAAAAATTGAGGCTGTGCATAAAATGAATTTTTTGACAACTTTTGGTATATCAAAGAACACAATACAAAGTCAAATTTTAAAATGATGGGGACCAATTCTTTATTATAAAACATTAATATCTAAATGAGAACAAGTTATATAACTTTGATTTTTTAATTAAAAAATGATAAGTACAAATTCTACATTTAAACAAAAATAAGGATCAAACAAATACAAATACGTTCATGGGAGGGGGGGAAAGCAGCTAGATGCTCAAATGATGCCACAAGTGCAAGTTTTGCTTGCAAAGAAAATAATGAAAATTCCTTTTTTCTCCTTCTTAGTGAGGAAGCGACACTGTTTACTGCTTGTTTCTTTTTACCAGAGCATTTATTTATTCTTCAAATGGTTCCAATACTTCATATCAATTGGGAGTCACTTGTTTAAAAAAATGAGCCTGAATTGTTAACATATCAAAGTACACAAATAACAGAAGATAGTGAAGTAGCCAAGTTCTAGAAATGGCACACTATTATTATTATTATATGTTTTCTGTTAGATTAAAGTTCTCATACATTTCTATCAGTACAATCAAGTTCGAGTAAGCAAGATGAATAATCCAAAGACACTTTGCCCCTCTCTAATGATCCAGGTCTTTGGCCAAGTATATTACTATTATCTCCAACTTAGGTCCTAAGATTTATTTAAAAAAAATGATCCTATGTATTATCAAAATAAAAGTATATATCCTAAAGACAAAAATGGATTTAATTTGTTTCATATATACTTAACTCGAATTTGTCAAATGACTGAAAGTTTCAGCAAAATCGGACACTATATTCCATTAAGAAAACAATCTAGTTTTCTGTTTCTGCTGTTAAATATTCAATGAATCCATAATCCTTTAAATTATGTAACCACGATGGTTTCAATGTTTGGCATCACTTACGTGAACATTTGAAAATTCATGAAAAATTTTTCTACATTCATTAATTACGTTATGGTCAGATTGATAAGAAAAATTTAAAACTAATCGAACCGTAGATTCTGAAATGTAAAATTTATTAAAAAGTTAAACTAAACACTGGTGCAGCGTCATTGAAGAATAATTTATACAATCCAAGTTTTAGCTGAACAAAACTTGGCTTTTTTGGTTCGAGTAACAAATTATTCTGTTAGAGTAGACCAGAGGTGGACAAAAGCCGGCCCTTTTGCTTATTTTATCCAGCCCGTTGAAAAATTCTGCATGCAATTTTTTTAATCTCTTATATGCCATAACATCCTCTTAAAATATATCTTATTTAATCTCTTACATATATATGTCTTATTTCTTAATAATATATATATATATATATTTATATTGTAATAATTAAATTATTTGTTTGTAGGCATTTGTAAAATGAGTCAATCTAAAAAAGAAAAGTTTGTTTGGAGTGCAGAAATTACACTGAAGCATGGACGGTAAAATACCTTTTTACAAACATTGTTAAGAATGCAATTTGTTTAGTTTGCCAGGAAACAATTGCTGTTTTCAAGGAATACAATTTAAACAGGCATTTTAAATCAAAACATCCAAAATATGCATCACTTTCTTTAAAAGAACTTCAAAGTGCAGCAGAAAACATGACAAAAAACTTGAATAAGCAACAAAATATTTGTACCAAACAAAGTAATATCGAGAAATCTACCACAAAAGCAAGTTATGCTGTTGCACACAAAATTGCTAAGTTCTGTAAACCTTTTACTGAAGCAGAATTTGTTAAACAATGCACGATACAAGTGTCAGAGATATGTTGTTCTGAAAAGAAACCCTTTTTTTGAAAATGTAAGCCTTTCGAGAAGAAGAATTGTACGACGGATCGAAAATATTGCAGAAAATTTACTTGACCAGCTAAGAACAAAAATTGCTGATTTTATATTTATATTTTAATTGTTGATTCTCTGTGGCTTTAGATGAATCCTGCGATATTACTGACACAAGTCAATTATTAATATTTTTCCGAGGTATTAACAAGAAATGTGAAATTAGCGAGGAACTTCTGAGTGTGCATCCAATGAAAGATACAACTACCGGTGAAGACTTCTTTATCGCTGTTGAAGAGTGTTTAGTTAAAGTAAATTTAACTTGGAACAAAATAGTAAGGCATCACTACGGAATGGCTGTCCTAGTTTAACAGGGACAAATGTGGGTTTACTAAAACGAATCTGCGACAAAGTAAAAGAGTTGCAGCCAGAACAGGATATATTATTTTTACACTGCATTATTCATCAAGAAGCGGTTATGTAGAAAAGTCTTGAAATTGAATCACGTCGTTACTGTTGTGACAAAAGTTGTGAATTTTTCCGGGGACGTACCTTAAATCATCCGACAATTTGTTGAATTTTTGAAAGAAATTGAAAGTGACTTTTACGAAATTCCTTATTACACTGAAGTGCGATGGCTTAGCATCGGTAAAGTTTCGGACAGGTTTCAATATTTACTTGATGAAATAGTATCCTTCTTGTCGATAAAAAAAAAAAAAAACTACATGATTTTCCTGAATTGCAAAATGAGGCATGGCTAAACGATTTCTCATTTACAGTAGATATTGTAAAATATTTGAATGAACTAAATATAAATCTACAAGGGAAAAACCAATTCGGTTTCAATATGCACTCAAACGTCAAAGCGTTTATGATAAAACTCAATTTATTTGCTAAAAACTTTAATAAGAACTTACTAAATCATTTCCCTTCATTACAATCACGACGAGAATCATTGAAAAATACCGATTTTCCGATTTAACCGATTAGTGCAATAACACAAGACCTGCATTCTGAATTCCAGAGAAGATTTCAAGATTTCAAAGCTATTGAAAAACCTTTATCGTTAATTAGTCAAACTTTCAAATCTGACGTGCAAGAAGCTCCTGTTGAAATTCAACTAGAACTAGTTGACTTACTTTCAAATAATTTCCTAAAAGAAAATTTTCACTCAAACGAGTTGAGTGTTTTCTACGGTGCTTTGAATACAGAACATTTCAAACATTTTTGAACTATGTTCAAAAATACCTAGTTTTATTTGGTTCAACATACATTTGTGAAAGAACTTTTTCGTTAATGATTTACACGAAAAATAAATATCGATCACAAATTACTGACGAAAAATCTACACTCGGTATTAAGGATTGCTACAAGTGATTTGATTTGGATCCAAATTTTGAAGAAATAATATCAAATGAACATTCCAGATTTCAACGTTTTCGCATTAACTAAAACTATTCTATTTTAGCGTTTGATGTTTGTCTTTTCTTTTATAATTCTTTTCACTATTATATTTACAAAATGTAATATAAATATAAAAATGTAATAACTATGATCAAAATAAAATAATTTGTATCGTTAAGATATAAATAAATATCAAAATAAAATCTTTCATTAACTGATTTATTACCAATTAACCAATTATTCTAAAGAATAGAAATAATGGCAATTTTTTTAAATATATTGAAATAATAGCAAAATTTGACCTAGTCATGTCTATACATATTAAGAGATCTCGAAACAATATTGCCACTTTATCTCAGAGATAAAATTAAAAATTAAATGATTAAATTAAAGGTGATAATATAAGAACTAATATTTTTAATTAAGTTAAAAAAGGGAAATATTTTTCTATATTACTTAAATGTACTCCTGATACGAGCCACCAGAAGCAAATTTTTTCTGCATAAGAAATGTTAATTCAAAAAATAATGAATTTAGTGTTTAAGTATGTTTTTTTGTCATTCCATCCTATAAGTGATATAAGAGGTGAAGGTTTAATCAACTTTTTGCTGAAAACTTGAATTAGAAAATTATAGTTTAGATATTCATAATATTCATGGACAAAGATACAACAATAGTTCTAATTTTAAGAGTTAACATCAAAGCGTATAAAAAAAGAATTTTAGACATTAATTTGTGAGCAATATTTGCACCATGCTGTAGTCACAGTTTGAAACTTATCATAAAAGAATGGTCTGAAGTCCAGTCAGTACCTTTAGCATACTTTTTTTTTTTTTTTTTTCCCCCAATTGTTCAAGAGCAACATATCCCCCTGCCTTAACCAATCAATGGTCTGTTTTGAAAAGTAACATTTCAAATTTAATGTTAAAACTTTTGTCACATAGCAGATAGCCTACCAAAACTGATACAATAACTCCTCTAAGATTCCAGTTAGGCGAAATTTACCATGCTTTTTATGAAATTCTGTCTGGAAATAATTTTGATGATACTACAAAACATCTGGCTACTTCTCATGTTAAAGAAATTTAAAATTATGAGTTTGTATGCATGTTAGTGTACAAAGAAGTATGATGTGGTACAAGATACTAAGTAAGATGCTAAGTGATGTTGTTACCAATATTCTGCAAACCAAAAAATTCAGTACTCCAAATCCTTGCGAAAGTTTAAAAAATCTGAATATCTTTTTAAAGAAATAAAGTTAACATCAGCCAACTGAAAACCAAGAATACAAATTTAAAGTCAGTTGTTTCCTTTTTGAAATGCTAGACATTACTCTTTCATCTGTAAATTAAAGATATGAGCTGTTATCCTCTCATTCTGATGTTCTCAAATTTTTGTGGAATACTGACTGATTGGCAAGTACTCTTGATCAAGATCAATTTAAATTTTGTAAAAAACTTGAAGAAGCTTTAACTGACAAAAAAGATGTAGAAGGCATGAATTAAAATTTCAGCAAAATTGCAACAAAAATGTGACATTTGTAGAAAAAACACTGAATTACAATAAACAACTTAACTTGCTCATTTTCACACATTATGATTATACTAAGTATATTAACTATACCAATTTCTGTGTCTATGCCATTACTAAAGTCTATACCAATTTCAATCAATTCAATACCTACAGCTGATGGATCATTTTCTAAATTTAAGTTAATAAAGTATTACTTAGATCTCTCTACTTTCTAATTGCTTCTAGCTGATTAGAAGTAATCAGCTAGAAGCAATTAGAAAATCTTGCTATCCGTTCTATACAGTCTGAGCAGCTGATTTAAAGCAGCTGGATATTGAAAATCTTATTAATGAATTTGTCAAAAGTAAACATAGAAAAGTCCAATTTCTATACGACATTTCCATTGTTTTCCATCATGTTTGTCTATTTGAAAAAAAAGGGGCGAGGCATTCTAAATATATTTTATTCGAGCTTTGTTATTTAATAATTTGGAATAATGTTTTATATTATCAGTGTTTTTTGTTTTGCTATTGTTGTTTTATAGAGAAATAAAAATGTTAATAACATTTTTTTTATGTGTACCTATTGTTTGCCTTGGGACAGTAGACGGTAATTTTGGCTCAGTACATGTAGGTTAAAGAAAAAGCACCTATCAGTATTTCACTTGACAGCATCAATGATATTGGGCACATTACTGCCATTACTGATCATTTTTTTACGTCCCTGACTATGTCATGATATACCCCCAAGGGTACATGTACCACAGGTTCAGAAAAATTGGTCTGGAAGTCCAAATATGCATTTAATGGCACACAAAAAATTCATGTAAGTGTCTACTTCTGTTTTCTGTCTTTTTCTTTGTTTTTGCAATGATCGATCATATTTCAAACTTGACAGATTTTAGATGTACTTTCTATATATATTTATGACTGATATGTAAGAAAGTATAATCCATAGACACCCTATCTAAATATCCTACATAGAGATATTTTGAAAGAAATTTTATGCATTCTTAGTAAATTTAAAAAGCATACAGATTTCTCACCATTTCCAAGATTTAACCATATCATCAACACCCCCAGTCACAATATGGTTGAGACCATCATGCACTCCTTTTCTCCAAGCACAGCACCAGATGCTATCATCATGGGCTAGGAATCAGAAAACATATCATTACAATTTTTTCATAATTTAGTTTCTTTTCTAAATTACATTTTTACAGTCTTCTTTCAAAGCCTAAATTCATTAAAATATAACATCAAATAAAAAACCACATAATACAATACTTTAAAGTAAAAAATAAATTTTAAATAATATATTTACCTTGCTCTTGTTTGAAGATAACTGAATACTGAAAAAAAAAAAAATATTCATATATTAAGTACTGAAAAAGTATAAGTTTTAAATACAGCAATATATAAAATATTGTTTAAATTCTACTCCTATATCCTCTAACCTCTCCCCCCCCCAAAAAAATATATCATTTCATTACAAGAAATTCTGTCCACTTTTTTCACTTTAACTTAATTGTTGAAATTTTGCTTTTAATGTAGCCATCAACATATAAATTCACTTTCATTATGACTCTTACACTTTTATCCCCCCCTTTCATTTAATAAATATAAGGCATTTCAGCAGTTTCATTAATCTGAGAATGTTATATCTGTAAGTTGAATCAAAACTTACTTTATAAAACTTTTACATGAAAAGAATAAATGTCAGTTCATTTATGTTAACATAAATAAGGATACATTCCTTACTCAGACCAAATAAAAATTTCAGAATTCTATTTCTATTTGGAAAATGAATTAGAAATGTGGAATGACAGATATTTTAACCTTTGCTGTTTATTCTAAAATATAATCTCCACAATGCAGTTCCAAATATTGTAAAACTTTTCTGCTAACTTTATACAACTCTTCCTCACAACTGCTGCAAATGTTACCTGTTCTCAAAGGAATTTTCCTGGATATAAATTCATTCAGAAACACCTAAGATCTTAAAATTAATGCCTCACATTTAATAAGTCTCACTATACTGTCTATCAATATTTTTGCAAACAAACAGAAAAAAAAAGGGAGTAATAGTACTTCAAAATACCAAAATAAAGTTAATTCAAAAATAAAAGCAGTGCATTTATTTTTCTACACATCATTTTCATATTTTGTAATTTTTTTTATGTGCCCTGAGAGGGGGTGGCAAACAGATCACTCCACGGGGGGAAAAACATTGAATTCTTCACCTATCACAATCCTGAATCCATACCAAAAAAAGGACACAATTACATTTACAAAATTAACAATAATCCCAAAAAAGCTTTTAGAAAATACGCTTCCCAATTTTGATTAGAAGGAATAGAAAGTGTACGATGGCGTTTGGAAGTAATATAATTTATTCTAATAAGATCATTCTTATTAAATTTATGACAGGTAAAACTGGATATTTATTAAATGTAAATACAATTCTGAACTACCCTAAAAAAAAATGTCAGACGATAAAACATAAAATTTATTTAGTATTTTAATAATTTAACTGGGTTGACTTCAAAAGAGGCATCAGTATCAGATCATTTTTGCAAGTCGAGTTCGGAAGTAATACATTCCATTTTTAAAATTGCGTACCGGTACATTTATGAAAATGTAATGTTTTTACTTCGCTTTATAGCTGAACTATTATATTAATGTATCAAAACTAACTACACTTGTATTATATAACAATATAAATGTTTAAAAAGAACATTAGCTCCGTCAATATGCTTCTTTTCCGAAAATTCTGTCCAACCGGCAGAACGTTGGATGGTAAGTTCCATTATAGCATATTTTATTTAAGTGTATTATAAAATTATATAACAAACTCAAGCATAGTTGAATGATTTAGAAGTGATATGAATACAATGAAAAAGAATACGTTATCTGATATTTATAATTCATATATGCAGAATATTAAATTATTTACCATCGCAAGCAATATTTCACCAAAGTAAAAATATAAACAAAGGTATAACTTCACTTCATTTCACGCAGAATTTACTAACACGTTGCCAGATGTCAACAGTTGAGATACAATGGGCAAGAGGGCAGGAATAATCAGAGACGGGCAGAAATTATCAAAAGCTACAAATAAGTTTCTTTTACCACCCGTTAATAAAAGATGTTAACTTGACGGAACGTCTTCACTGAATAGTAGCCTTAAAAGTAATATCTCATCTCGTTTACAGCAGGGGTTCCCAAAGTTGCCCCCTACGGACCCAAGTGTCTCAGGTATCATCCAGAGGGTCCGTGGAAAAATTTTAATTGATTTAGAAGTCTCTGAGAAACGTCAAGAGATCCGCGCAAGGTTTAATATAAAATAATAAAATTGTGATCCATTTTTATCGTTATATAAATTTAAATAACAATAAATAAATTACGTAGCATCGATTTTTACGTCCTGAGTAAAATATAGGTGGGGGTTAAAATACAGTATGTTATTTAAGTACTGAGCGTTAGGTAATACCTTTTGTGAATGAACATTGGCAAAACTTATTTCCACTAATTTGTTACTTGCACTAACAGTGGTGTGTATAACTTGTTCCAAAGTTATTACCAAAACTTAATATTGCTCAATTTACTTCAATAAATTTATCTTTAATACCCCTGCTCCGTACAACTTCACTTTCCTGACAACCCCAACAATCGTAGCTACACCATCAGCTCCTTACAGATGAAGACCTTTCAATTTCCATCAACATGCTAACAACAATATAACAACAAAATAATATGATTGAATGTTGAAATTTCTGGAAAGCAAGACAATGATTTGCGATTATTAATTAATTAATTTAATTAACAGAAAAAAATGACATAACTTATATGACTGATTTATTTGCCAAATTTAATTGAACTAATTTGAAACTATAAGGTGACCAATAAAATTTAATCAAAACTGAATTTGTGTTTGTTGCAAAACGTTTTCTGTACAAACAAAACTTGGGAAGATGAGAATGTTCTCAGTTTCCAAATCTTTCGAAATTGCAAAATAGAGATGAAGATTTGCTTGCTGACTGTCAACACCTAACGGCTCTTCATGCAGACCTGAACCAAAGATTTGAAGATATTCTTCACTTAGGTATTCCCGACTGGTTTTCGAACCCTTTTGCGCGTGGGCAAACTCAGATCCCAAAACACAGATGAATCCATACTAATACAGAAGTAGCTTATTGAAATATCCACAAATGAGGAACTTAAACCAGTGTTTTAACAAGGATATCACTAATTCTGGTTACAAAAACAGATCCCAATTTTATATCCTGCATTATGGGTATTTATGCAGAATTTGTTGATCGCTTTCCCATCTTCTCATTTGGTCATACGTGGATTCAGTGACGTTATGAACCTCATCACACAAAAAAAGAAACCGACTAGACATTTTAGTGCTCGTGGGGATTTGCGGTTGCTACTCATAAACATTTAGCCGGATATAAATGCACTCATAACTCCTCATCATGTTCATCGTAGTCATTAATTTTTTTTAATAAAAATTATAATTTCAATAAATGCTTCTTCAACAAAATGATTTTTAATTTGTAATTTTTATACTATGCATTCATGTAGCTTTTACACTTGGGGATCTGTGGTAAAGTTTTGACTATGAAAAGGGCTCCATGGGTCAAAAAAGTTTGGGAACCTCTGCTTTACAGTGCTAAAGAAAAAATATAAGTATGCACCAATACTTGCATTTTATATACATATCAAATAATTTTAAATCTGGGGAAATCAAATGTATATATGGTAGAGAAATTATTTTTCGAAATCCTGAAGAAGTGTGATAGGCACTCCTCTCAATCATAATATTTCTTTTATTTATTTTAACATAAGCAAGTTAGCCCCTTCTAAATACAAACGTATCTTAATAATATAATTTGTGCGTGGCAATATATTTTAGTTTATTATGCTTCTAAATGAAATATTTTTTTAAAGTTATGTATTAAAATGAGGAATCCTTTCGACTTGCCTGGAAGAACACATGTTGTAAGTAAATCGTCTTCATTAGGTTCAAATGGTTCGCATTCGCGTTGCAGATGGAGAAAAACAGAAAAACATTCATGCAGCCAGCCAGGCTGCGGGGACTGGAATTCAGATCGAAATACCATACCAGTGTTCAAAGGTTGCCGAAATACCAGAGTTTAAAAGTTTAATTTATCTTAACGAGTTGGTTAGACACATTTTGCAATTCGAACTGGCCCGAAAAGAAAATAACGCAGTACATATTTACATAAAAAATTTTCAGATCGTTGCCAGGTCTATTAATCCCTACCATACCACTTTTAAAACATTAAATACTGCAAAAAAAGGAGGGAACGATAACTGTTAGTCCTAAACAGATTAATAAATGCACGCTCTAATTGTTCCTTCAAAATTGAAAAAATAATAAGCATGGTTAAAGACTAGTGACAATAACAGTCAGGAATCGAGAGATAACAGGTGCGGAAACTTCAGTGTAGGAGAGAGAACTGAAATTCGCTCTTAATATCTTATTATCACTTTTAATCATTTGATTCCTGAAACTGCAGATTCTGCGCTTGCCGGCTTGTAACTGGAAGCATACTCGACTCGCATTCAGGAGGTCTGTAGTTTGAATTCCGGCAAGGACATTGCATAATTTCACGTCTCCAACATAAAAAACCTAATGATTGCAGTTCTACAATCAGCTATTTATATAAACATTGTACGTTACTTGAATACATAAAATGTTATAGTTTGTTCTTTACAGAATACTCTCAATCACTGGGCAGAAGTTTTTACCAAACTGTGTACTTTTTTGACATTTTATAACTGGATGCATACGTTAGAATCAATATTTGAGGAAATTACTCTGCAGAAACCTTCTACGAGCACACATCGTTGAATAGAAAAAAATTAAAGTAAATTTTCCCTCTTTCCATATCTTATAACAAAACTCGAAAATCGATATTCATCCTACGCAGGGCTTCAACTTCTAAATAGGAAGTACTTGAAATTTTTTTTTTTTAGAAAAATTGATTTTGGATCGAAACTGGGTCGTAGGATCTCAACTACGGCATTCGATTGTTTTTAGTATTCGAAATGTATAAAATAATTTAATTTTAATCTGCTATATATTTAACTTCACTTAAGATGGTCACTGCAGTTCAGGCGGTTGAAGAAATGGAGTTATGTACAGGGAATTAAAGAATAATTTTTCAGAAATGAAGCTAGAAAGATACTAATTGTAACAATCAGAGATATTTAATGCTTATATTTGGTGACTTTTATCACCAGTTTTATCAATCACACCGTAGAGACCGTAGGACCACATTCCCTTCCCCCTTTCATAAGAAAAAGGCGGAGCGATAGGGAAGCCTTTTTGAGAGAAAGAGCATTAGAGCAGCAAAATATCAGAAATGTAATTTTGAAAATACCAAACATAAGATTAACTTTTGAACAAGTAAAAATTAAAAGTCTTAAAATTTTGAAGTCAATAATAATTTTAAACACTATCTTCTTTTAAAATAATTGCACATTTTTAAGTCCTATTAAGATTTGAGTCCAATCTGTAAAAAACTCTTTTTTTCTGGAATATTCTCATCACAATCCTGATACTTCAGGGAAAGATTTCCAAAACTTTTTACACACCATATCACAGTTATAAAGATTTTATATACCAACAAATTATTACGAATAATCATAGATCTTAAAAAATTTCACACCATACTAAGTTTCACATTTATAAGTAATGCTTTATCATTTGTAATACCATGATTGAAATTATGATTATTACTTTTATTATTACATTTTAAATTTTTCTTATTTTACACAAACTGGAACACCCCACAGCTTTCTTGTAGTACACACATATCCAGCTATTTGGGCATATCCACTTTAACAAACTCATTATGAAAAATATAAAATCTAGCTTTCAAATAATAAATTAATAGCCCTTTAACTTCCGTTTCATTCTAAAAGTAATAACAATACATTTTTCTTCTTATAGTTCTAATGCGCACTTACCAATGAAACCCAAACCCAAGTGTCATGTGATGAAATGGAATATGGTATAAAAAGGGCAAATGCGTTCCAACTCCTTTACACTGATGACTTTCACACTACCCGTCTGTCCATGATCGTCTCCTTGCTTGGTCTGCGATGTTGGCCCCTTTTTACCACCTACCTCTCTTAACTGAAGATTGTACTACTGCGACGTGCCTTCATGGCAATTTATGGAGCCGGACAAGCGGCCATGTGCTGCATTCTGGCAATACACAAACAGTCAGTCAGTCAACTCCTTCTCTTCCGTCCATTCTCTTGCTTCGTGTCACTGCTTTACATTGCCGCTAGCCTTTTAGAGTTTATTTTTCTAAATTCGTCAATTGTTTAAGATGTAAGCTTTTCAAAAATTGGAAGGCGTGTAGTGCATCAAAAGTGATAATGTGCATTGTCATTCAGGAATAAAATTATGTGTGAAATTTACTGTTATGTGTGTTTTTCCAGTGTCATCTTACTAACTACTTAGCTAACTACATCTTACTAACTTACACAGCAAAGTCTTCAAGTTATGATGCAGTCCTCTCCGACCGCGAATCCATTGCAACTTCCACCAAGTCATTTTATCAATAATAAAACACTCTCATCATAATAATGGAGCAGTTTTATCACATAAAATATCAAAGTTTACATTTAAAACTTATGGCCATAAAAAATCTTCAAACTAGTTAATTGAACTGGAAAAAATATGCAAATATTAAAATGTAAGACATATACAATTCTACATTGCCCTACAATAATAATATGAACCGTATAATTCTCTGAATATAAAATAAGGAAATAAATTTCATAATTAAATCTGTTTAGGGAAGGGCTTTTAAAACTTTTCATATATAAAAATTTCAAGCACATCCATTAACACTATAAAATCGCAAAAAATTTCAAAGTGCTATAATATAATTAAATTTTCATTTAAAACATCATTTGAAGTAATATTATACTATTATTATCAAAATTTCTAATTTACTATTTTGAACAAACTGGAAGCCAGTTACCTTTATTAAAG